GGTAGGGGGTTGAGGGTTGAGTGAGAAGGGGGAAGGGATTAAGCAAAGAAAAAGAAAAAAAAAGAAAGACTTATGGACATAGTATAGTGATTGACTGCCAGAAGGAAGGCGGGGTGGGGGCAGGTGGAAGAGAATAAAGTGGGGATAAATGGTGATAGAAGACTTGACTTGGGGTGGTAAACACTCAATACAATATACATACAGATGATGTATTATAGAATTGTATACCTGAAACCTGTAAAATTTTATTAACCAATGTCATCCCAATAAATCAATTTTAAAAATATTAATGCTTACATCAAATATCAATCTAAAACAAAACTTTTAAAATATATTTTTCTATATAAAGTTCTGTTAACTAGATACATCAGTTTCACAAGGATGTAGGACTTCCGTTTCCTGCTTAGGCACAGAACTTCAGCCCTTCATCACATGGTGGTGACGTAACTGCTACTGCCTCACATTTGGTTTTCCTGACCTACTTTCTCTTCCTTCCTATCTATCACTCACCTTACCTAAAAAGCAACCTCCCTAAAACAATACTTTCCCCAAATCCATTCAACAAAAACCTACAGGGATCAGAATTCTAATCCTCCGCTTTCTAACAGGTGTGCCAAAAACGGGCAACAAATTTTGATGTTCCCATTCAGCCCGCTGTGGTCAGAATTGCCACACCCTTCAGAGCCTCCAGGCCACTAGAGCAGCCTCATCAGTTTACCCTGAAACATCATGAAATGCAGGGGTTAACAAAAGTAGGCTTACAGTTGTGTTATGCAAAACACAGTTTATTCCTGTATAATTATGTATTAACTAGAGGCCTGGTGCCCAGATTTGTGCACCAGTGGGGTCCCTCGGTGTGGCCTGCAGGGATCAGGCCAAAACCGGCAGTCCAACACCGCCTGCTGCTCCTGCCTGCCACTCCCACTCATCCCAGCCCCACTGTGCCTGCCGCAGGCTCACACCCAGTCAGTCCCATTCAGGAGAGGCTCGCCTCTCTGCAGCGACGCTCACCAGCCATGAGCCCTGCGTCTGGAGCCCGTGGGTCAGCTGAGCGGTGCTCCTGCTGTGGGAGCACACTAACCACCAGGGGGAAGCTCTTGCCTAGAACGTCTGCCCCCTGGTGGTCAGTGCCCAACATAGTGACTGGTCAACCGGTCGTTTGGTTGCTTAGGCTTTTATATAGACTAGAGGCCCTGTGCACGAAATTCGTGCACAGGTGCGGCCCCCTAGGCCTGGCAGGTGATCGAAGTGCGGTGACTCCACTGCTGCCCACTACCAGTGCCACGTCACCGAAGCCTGCCATATTTTGCACCGCCCCCTGGTGGTCAGTGCACATCATAGCAAGCAGTCGAACTCCCAGTCAAATTCCTGGTCAAGGGAACAATTTGCTTATTAGGCTTTTATTATATGGGATTGTTGTATTATAACTGTAAACCTACTTCTGACCACCTCTGTATGTTGGGAAGTGCTTTCTTTTTTTTTTTTTTTAAATATATTTTATTGATTTTTCATAGAGAGGAAGGGAGAGAGATAGAGAGGGTTAGAAACATCGATGAGAGAGAAACATCGATCAGCTGCCTCTTGCACATCCCCCACCGGGGATGTGCCCGCAACCCAGGTACATGCCCTTGACCGGAATCGAACCTGGGGCCTCTCAGTCCGCAGGCTGATGCTCTATCCACTGAGCCAAACCGGTTTCGGCCGGGAAGTGCTTTCATTACTCCCTAAAATATGTTCCCAGCCTATTACATTTGTTTCTCATGTCCTTCTAACATAAACTGGAAAAATTAATGGAAGTGTTTTGGTCATACTTTATTCACAGCACAAGAATCACTTCTACTCATATATATAAGGTTATTCACTGATGTACTATATGTAATAACAAAACACTAGAAGCAATTCAATTGGTAAAAGTATATTGCTACATTAATTTTGGTATATTCAGCCATGACATGCGATGCCCCATCAAAGTAATGAGGAAGCTAATATAGAGAAGGCTCTCCAAGACACAGTCATTGAAAAAAAGCACCAAGTACAGAAGTATGTGTTATTATTGGTCTAAAATGAGGGGGGTGTATGTGCATATTTATTTGTATATGCATGTGCTATGGTCTGAATGTTTATGTCCCCTGAAAATTCATATATTGAAATCCTAACCCCCCAAAGGTGCAGGTATATGGTATTAGTAGGTGGGCTTTTGAGGGTGATTAGGTCATGAAGGTAGAATCCTCATGAATGGGATTAGTGCCTTATATTATTAGAAAGGCCCCAGAAAGTTTGTTGGCTCCCTCCACTGTGAGGACAGAGCGAATGTGCAGGCTGTGAACCAGAAGAGGGCCATCGCCCAACCATGCTGGTGCTGAGAGCTCAGACTTCCTGTTCCAGAACCCTGAGCAATAAATTCTTGCTATAAGTTACCTAGTCGGTGGTATTTTGTTAAAGTAGCTCTCATGGACTAAAACAACATGAAACATCCCTTAAGTCTATCAGACCTGAGGCCCTGAATCTTCGCTTTCCTGTTGAAGTGCTTGGTTCATCAGCCGCTCGTTTCATTGTGTATTTTCAGAATTTTTTCACGTCAAACCACACAAAGTCAATTCAAACACATGGGGGCAGACATTTGCAATGGCTAACCATGAGGTTTGACCACGATTGGTTGGTTATTTTTAGTTTGTGACGCATTTTTTTTCACGTACTAGGCAAAGTACTGAAAATTAGGTACAGCGGTCTGGTAAGGTTAAAACAGTGGTTCGCAATCCTGGCTGCACATTAGAATCACCTGGGAATCTTTTTAAAATCCTGATTTCTGGGCCTCATCCTCTAGAAATTGTTTCTTTGTTATGGGTTGGGGCCACAACATTAGTAACAAAGAAACAGAATTTCCAGAGGATGAGGCCCAGATATCAGGATTTTAAAAAGATTCCCAGGTGATTCTCATGTGCAGCCAAGGTTGAGAACCACTGCCTTAAAAGGACAGCTAAGAAAAGTGATAACATCTCTTGCCTCTGGGGTAGAGAAGTAAGCAAGTGGGAGGACAGGAGACTCCCACTTTTACAACCTTTGAATCTTTGAATTTTGATCCAGAAAAATGCATTACTTTTCATACAAAAATAAATAAAATTATAATTTATTAAATTCCCACTGCAGATACCATGGCTCTTCCATCTCTTCCTATCATCTGCCAATGCTAGGGCGGGCTCCAGCCCACAGGACAGGCCCCTGTGACCAGCACTATCCTTCAGGCTGGCTGGTATCCCACTGGTCCACACCCACACACAGACCTGTCACGCCTCAATGCCTTGGTCCATGCTCTTTTCAAAAATGTCAGGATTCTGCCCTAGCCGGTTTGGCTCAGCAGACAGAGTGTCAACCAGTGATCTGAAGGGTCACAGGCTGGATTCCAGTCAAGGGCACGTACCTCGGTTAGCGGCTCCATCCCTGGCCCTGGTCAGGGTGCTCGTGGGAAGCAGCCAATAGATGTCTCTCTCCCACTTCAATGTTTCTCTCTCTTTCTCCCCTTTCACCCCCTCCTTCCTCCCTTCCACTCTTTCTAAAAATCGATGGAAAAATATCCTTGGGTAAGGACTAACAAAAATAAAATAAAATAATAAAATAAAATAAAAATAAATAAATAAAATATAAAATAAAATAAAAACATCAGGATTCTCCTTCTTGCTTGCTCTGCTTCTAAATCATCCACCTTCTTTGGGGCTCTGTTCATATTGCAACCCCTCCAAAATATTTTCCAGAATCCTGAAATCCTGCCTATCCCACATAGTATCCATGTACCCTCTGATTTTTTACTTGCATATCTAGAATATGGCTGGAATTTGTATATCTGATTTTATAACTGAATTATTTTAAAAAAATAAAACAAAAACTGTTTAGTCAGGAAGTAATAATTTCTGCTGAAGGATGGAGTGATTACCACAATATTATACAATTAGAATATCAAAAAAAGTGAAAATCTGGTCATGCCCTTTCTGATGAAAATCTTTCCATGGTTTCTACTGATATTAGGACAAAATCAAAACTCATTAAGATTTTTCACCAGAACCCTCAAATCTTCCAAACCTCCTTCCTCACCACACCTCTTAAGTTTCGCACACTTGACATGTCATTCCTCACCACTGGGCTTTCCTTATGTTGTTCCCTACCTAGACCAGTCCTCTCCTATATCCAAGCCCCCTTTCCTCTGGCTCAGGAATCAGTTTAAAATTGAAATATTGGTTTTTACCTATCAAACTGACAAAGGTCAAAAAGTCTAAAAATGCATTAAATTGACAATGGTGTGCGGAAATATACCTTCTCACACATTGCTGGCAGTAGTATAAATTGTTACAACTTCCATGGAGCACAGTTTGGCAATATCTACCAAGATAACAACTGCATACGCAGTTTGACCCAGCATTTTTACTTTCTAAACTAGAGATATATTTGTATGCATGAGAAATAATGTATGTAGCATTAGTTGATATAGCAAAAGACTGGAAACAATCTACATAAATGTCCACCAAGAGAAAACTGATTATATTCTATAAATATTCTGCAGACATTTAAAAGAAAAAGGCAGTTGCATATATGCTTAGATATATTTTAATTAACTGGGAAGAAAAAGCCAGAGATAGCAAGCAAAAAAAGAAAAAGCAAGATATGTGTAGTACGCTACCACTTGTGTTTAAACAATTTTGCAAAACTATATGAGATATATGCTTAAATAACCTGTACTATCTTTAGAAGGATTAAAAAAAACTATTACCAGGAATCATCTCTGCGGAAGGGAGGTGGTTGTTGGTTGAGTGGAAGAAAGAAAAACTTACTTCCTACTTTTCTACCTTTTGGATTTTCTACTGGTACATGCATGATAAACAGACAGATAATGGATGGATGGATGGATAAATGGACAAAGAGACATTGAAAAAAATTTTTTTTTAACTGAGCATTCCACACAAATGTATGTGGCCCTCTATACAAATTTTAATCTCCAAGTGCTCTCTTACCTGCTGGTTGGTGCAGGGAAAGAAAATGAGAGAAGCTGATTCCAGAACGGGTCATTCTCAGAGACAGATTCTGTGCCTGATAGCTTTTTTAAGTACTCATTTTTGGGAAGATCACCAATTCTACTGCTGTTTGATCCCATCTTCTAATCTGGTAGACAACTTGTCCTTAAACCTTCATTTCCACAAGACAACCTAGAAAAAAAATGAAAAGAAATTTCAAACTTATTTAAAACAATCCTCAAACTTTTCCTTCCCCTTGACCTAAATGTAAACACACTGTAAACATGCTAAAGGAAATCAGAACCTTTATTTTTAAATATATGAGACATCAGATACAAAGTTACAAGGAGAAAAATGGAGCTAACCTCTGTCTTAACCAACACAAACACAAAAGTCAGAATTTATACTTGTAGATCTTAGAATGGGCGTACCTCACGCCCCTAGGCAGCAACAACAGGGTACTATCTGCTGAGCAGAGTGAAGACAGTGCCCGAGACAGCTGAAATGCCCAAGGAACAAGCAAAGACTAGCCAGCCACTGAAGTACCCGTCAGAAAGTTCCACCTGCTCCCACCCTCACAGAGAGCAAAGCAGAAAACTGAGGTCCACTGGCATCTCTTCTGCCAAGGATCACACCAAGCATTCCACACACACACACACGACCTGGACCCAGTTTACTGTATTTGGAACTCCCAAGACTCTTACTTATGAAAGCCAGAATAAAATGGAACTTGAAAAACCCTGTATCCAGCCCTGACCAGTTTGGTTCAGTGGCTAGAGCAGGGGTGGGCAAACTTTTTGACTCGAGGGCCACAATGGGTTCTTAAACTGGACTGGAGGGCCGGAACAAAAGCATGGATGGAGTGTTTGTGTGAACTAATATAAATTCAAAGTAAACATCATTACATAAAAGGGTACGGTCTTTTTTTTTCAATAGTTTTATTCATTTCAAACAGGCCGGATCCGGCCCGCGGGCTGTATGTTGCCCACAGCTGGGCTAGAGTGTCGGCCTGTGGACTCAAGGGTCCCAGGTTCGATTCCGGTCAAGGGCATGTACCTTGGTTGCAGGCACATCCCCAATAAGGGGTGTGCAGGAGGCAGCTGATGGATGTTTCTCTCTCATGGATGTTTCTAACTCTCTATCCCTCTCCCTTCCGCTCAGTAAAAAATCAATAAAATATATTTTTAAAAAAAAAAGAAAAGAAAAAGAAAAACCCTGTATCCAATCAGCTCACCTCCTAAGAGTCCTACTGCTTTTCCCTCTTGCTGTGCCTCAAGACTTCCTAGGCTCTCAGCTCTTCTTTCTCTCCATTTGTCAGTAACTGAGCCTTTGTTCTCCTGGCTTCACTAGTGGCTTCCATGTTACTCTCAAACCTCTCCTAGTCCCAAGCTCTGACCAGAATGCCAGTTCTACCTAGATCCCTAAGATACTGGATTTTTTTAAACTCAAGGATAACATATTTTAATTATGTGTGTAACATATAAGCAGTAATTTTGTGGATAACAATGCCCCTCACGTAACTCTATACTAAAAACAAGAAGCATGCTATGGCTTATGCCATTAGAAGTAAACCTTTCAAAGGACCTATTTTTCTAAATTTTTATTTATTGATTTTAGAGAGAGAGGAAGGAAGAGAAGGGAGTAGAGAGAGATGAGAGAAACATCAATTTGTTGTTCCACTTACCTATGTACCCAGTAGTTAACTCTTGCATGTGCCCTGACCAGGGATCGAACCACAACATGAGTGTATATGCTCTAACCAACTGAGCGATCCAGCCAGGGATTCAAAAGATCCTATTTTATTGTGCTGCAGTTTTTCCCAGACTAGAATGGAAAAATGTTTAATTTTTTAAAACTACAGCAATTAGATCATTTTATTTGAAATTTTAAGCACCAAAAGCTCTAAATAAACAGATAAATTCACACAAAAAGACCCTATTTTAATGCAATGTAGTCAAGAACATGTATGTGCAAAACTGATTCCATCCTCCCTCTCAAAACCAGTTTGCCCTCTCAACTCCACTACTCCCCTGAAGTTCTCATTATGTAAAAACTACCCTCGAAATGTGATTCTTCTGTAGTATATATGACATATCTCCTGAGGTAGATATCCTAGATATGCAAACTGACCCTAACAGCAGAACGACTGGGAATGACTGGTCACTATGACACACACTGACCACCAGGGGGGCAGATGCTCAATGCAGGAGCTGAACCCTGGTGGTCAGTGCACTCCAACAGGGGGAGCTCTGCTCAGCCAGGCTGATGGCTGCCAGTACAGCGGTGGTGGTAGGAGCCTCTCCCACCTCCTCAGCAGCGCTAAGGATGTCCGACTGCAGCTTAGGCCTGCTCCCTGCTGGCAAGTGGAAATCCCCCGAGGGCAGCCGGGCTGCCAGAGTGATGTCTGACTGCCAGCTTAGGCCCAATTCCCCAGGGAGCGGGCCTAAACCAGCAGGTGGTCATCCCCCAAGGGGTCCCAGACTGCGAGAGGGCACAGGCCAGGCTGAGGGACCCCCGCCACAGTGCACAAATTTTTGTGCACCAGACCTCTAGTTCCTAAATAATAATTTACAGTAAAAAAAAAAAAATTATTGTTGTTAAATAAGTGGATTGTACTCTCTTTACCTTCTCTCCTTCAGGAAGGATCTGAATGTGCTCTGGCTTGTGTTTTAACCTTTATGTGAGTGACCCCAGAACTAATATTTTATTCTGACTTCTCAGTCAAAATCTAAGCATAAATCTTTACTTAATGGCCATTTCAATTTGATGTTTTAATATCATCATAAATTTTAAAACAGATTTTAACATTGCCCCCCAAAATAAGCAACCCCTCCAAGCCTTTTTGCCTCAAATTCTCACTCACATAACCAACCATTCATTCCATAAATACCTATTACACACGTCCTACAAATGTCAGGTGTTATGCCGGAAACTGAACATGTAAAAATGATTAAGACCAAGTTCCTTGCCACTCATGAACCCAAAGCCTATTTAATACATATGGTATGTATCACAATGGAGTTATGTATACACAAAAAGCTATGAAAACACACAGGAGCATCTGAGACAGAGGGAACAGTATGTGCAATGGTACTTTTACTCGGCCAGATCTATGTCAGAAACTAGGCTAAATGCTGTATAATTACTGCTTCATTTCGTCCCTATGAACAACTCTAAGAGGTGGTCATAATGTTCTCATTTTACAGATGAGGAAGCTAAGGTACAGAAGGGTTAAGTAACTTCCCCAAGGCCCTAGAGGTCATAAGTGGCAGAGCCAGGATTTGAACCCAGGTCATCTCATTCCAGAATCCCTGGTCTTTACCACACTATAGGGCAGTGATGGTGAACCTATGACACGCGTGTCAGAGGTGACACACGAACTCATTTTTGGTTGATTTTTCTTTGTTAAATGGCATTTAAATATATGAAATAAATATCAAAAATATAAGGCTTTGTTTTACTATGGTTGCAAATATCAAAAAATGTCTATATGTGACTCGGCACCAGAGTTAAGTTAGGGTTTTTCAAAATGCTGACACGCCGAGCTCAAAAGGTTCGCCATCACTGCTATAGGGTGACTCTCCAATGACATCAACAAGTCCTGTGGGTTCTTCTACAACATCCACAGTGCTACATAGCGTCTTCTAAATCCATCTCTTCCTTTATATTCCCACTGCCTCCATACTAAACCAGGCTTCTATAATCTCACATGACTTAGTGCAACAATATCCAGGTGTCTTTATTTCCAATCTCTCCACTTAGACTGACTGTTCACACTCCACTACTGCATTAATCCTTAAAAGAAACAGGAAATTCAGTCCAGCATTGCAATAAAGAAAGGTTCTAGTGTGAGCTAGATTCTGTTAAGTCTGTATAAGAATCAGTCTGAATCTCCATTTACAACTTATAAAACCTCACTGCATTATGGGAAAAACAACAATACTTACAACTCATAAGATATTATAGGATGAAGCAAGATGATCCATACAATGTACTCAGCCCTGGCTGGTGTGGCTAAGTCAGCAGTTCTCAACCTGTGGGTTGCAACCCCTTTGGGGGTCAAACGACCCTTTCAAAGGGGTCGCCTAAGACCATCAGAAAACACATATGTAATTACATATTGTTTTTGTGATTAATCACTATGCTTTAATTATGTTCAATTTATAACATTGAAATTGGGGGTCACCACAATATGAGGAATTGTTTTAAAGGGTCGCGGCATTAGGAAGGTTGAGAACCACTAGGCTAAGTGATTAGTGTGTCAGCTCATGCACCGAAGGGTCTCGGGTTCAATTCCCGGTCAGGGCACATTGGATTGTGCCAACGTGAATACAGAAGGCAACCTATCAATGCTTCTCTCTCAGACAGATGTTCTCTCTCTTCTCTCTCTCTGTCTCTGTCTCTCTCTCTTTCTCTCTCTCTCTCTCTCTTCCTTCCTCTAAGCATGCCCTCAGGTAAGGATTAAAAAACAACAACCTGGCACAGTGTATGATTAGTCAAATAAAAGGTCAAATACAATTTATTTTTAATATTAGTAAAATAACCACTTTCGTCATTTCATTCAATAGCTCAAAAACATTCAATGATTCTTCAGTTGTCTGACATTCAAGACCCTCCACAGTCTGAAAGATCACTTTCCACTACCGTCCAAACCAGTAGCTCTCAAACTTAAATGTACATGAAAAACACCTGAGAAGCATGTGGCTAAAAATACAAATGCCTGGGCCTCAAAAAATTCAGAATATAAGGGTAGGACCCAGGCATCTGAATTTTCTAAAAAGCATTCACAGCCCAGCCACGGTGGCTCAGTGGTTGAACGTCAACCTATGAACTATGAGGTCACAGTTCAATTCCCGGTTAGGGCACATGCCAGGGTTGCAGGCTAGATCCCCAGTGTGGGGTGTGCAGGAGGCAGCCAATCAATGATTCTCTCTCATTATTGATGTTTCTATCTCTCTCGCCATCTACCTTCCTCTCTCTGAAATCAATAAAAATATTTTTTTTAAAAAAAGAAATGGCACTTGAAATTAAAAATAAGATAAAAATTCAATAGAAAGGAGGCCAAGGAAACTCCCATAATAAATTTAAAAAAGAAGACAAACAGATGGAAAACAGGAGATTGAAAATTAGAAGACCTGTTTAGAAGGTCTTAACAATTACAGGAGTTCTAAAAGGATAGCACAAACAAAACA